TTAATATACAAGAAGCGTACGTCGTAGTAGAGTTCTCGCCATTCTGGTTGCTAATCCATCTCTATAGCAAACTCACTGATAAGCCCATCAAGGGCCTCAAAGCCGACAAGGCGCCAGTTATCCCTCGCAAGCCGAAGAAGGCGCTTCCAGCAGAGAGCAATGGGTTCAGCCAGACCAACGGCAAGCACGGCGCCGACGTGCAAGCCATTCCCAAGGATCCTAAGAAGCGTCTTAGAGCAGAAGATGGCGCATCACCAGCTACCAAGAAAGTGAAAGGCGACGATGTGGTCATTATTGATGACGACGTTGGCACCGGGGCTATCGAGATCCTCGACGACTGAGTGTTCCTCGCTTCGGAGCAACCGAAACACGCAGGTCACACTGCGCTCAAACCTCCGTCGATGTTGAGGACGCAGTTGTGCGTGTAAGAACTTGTGGCCAAGAACAACGCGGCCTCTGCTACCTCCTCAGCTAAGCCTAGACGTCCCATCGGGATCAAAGCAGAAAGCTCGCTATTCTTATCCATGTCTACGTCGAGCTTTGTATATTAGTAATCATGTACTGTGTAGGGGAACGGCCGGATCGTGTAGGTTTTGAGAGGGCGAGGAAAGAAAAATACTAGGAAGGGTGAGAGGTCACCTTTCGTCATGTCACTCCGGATATATCCGGGTAGGAGGACGTTGGCACGAACGCCGAATCTGCCCACTTCCCAGGCCAGAGACCGCGTTAGACCTAGAGGAGGTTTAGCTACCTCACGAGCTGATGATAATCTATTGCATACCAACGACGCCGGCTTTTGACGCGGCATAAACACTTGCACCTCTTCCCCCGTTGGTAGCTAAGAGACTAGACACGTTGATAATGCATCCTTAAATTTGACTTGTTAGTGCGGTATGAAAAACATGCGCAGACCGTCGACATACCATCTCTCTGCTTCATCATTTTAGGTATGTAGTATTTGCAGCCCCATATCGTACCTATAAGATTCGTCGCGATGAGGTTGTCCACGGTCTTATTACTTGTATTGAACAAGAAAGAGTTCTGAGAAATGCCCGCCGCATTGACGAGAATGTCGGTTTTTTGCTACATGTCCGTCATATATTGTCAGTACGAAGCTTAAAGACACAGCGACTTTTCTTATATCGTCGTATAAGCCAGCAGACGAAAACGAAGTCTCTCGATATAACTTACTAGTTTCATTCTAGAGATTAATGCTTCCCAGCCGTTTACAGCGGAGACGTCGAAGGCCGATAAGTCATGCTGCTGCGAGTCGTGTCTCCGATCTAGATGCTTCATGGCTTCAGTGAGTCTGTCTTCGTCTCTTGCGATGAGCGTGCACCCTGCTCCTTTAGCGGCGAAGAGCCGGGCGATGGCCAGCCCTATGCCTCGGCTGCCCCCCGAAATGACGCAATGTTTGCCGATTAGGGACATCCTCTTTCTCTCTCTCTTCTCTCTCTCCTCTCCCCTATAATTCACCCGTCAAATATTAAAATCAGGGGGTTCGTAGGTATTCTTATCTTCTTGATGCTAGCAAGCTAACACTCAGCTCCCCGATGCGGAAATGTTCGGTATCACGTGCTTGCCAGCGACCTTGAGCCTTGAGGTCTAAGACAATAATTCGTACAAGATACGAAATTTCCGAATTGCCAAGCTGTAGTAAGGCGGGAAAGCGGCAGACCGTCGAACGGTATTAGCCGCTAAGGTTCTGCAATTACATGCAACCTTTCCCCCCCTACCAACTCTTATTCGCTTTCAGGGATGGTAGTTGAATAGAGTCCGGGCTAGGCATTGGCCACCCCTGAAGGCCCTGAAGAGATAAGCCACGGGCGCAAGACTGACGACACGGATGTGGGGGGATTGTTGATTTGACGCAAACACAATGGCCATTCTGATTTGTGGTCGGCCGCGATTTAGAGTTGGATCACAACTCTGAACGACGGGGATGCAAATCTAACAAGAACGAACTGCAGCCGAACCGAAACCTTTAATTTCTTGGGAGTTAATAAAGTAAATCGAAACTTGAAGGTTGAAAATTTTATATATATCACTCAGAGGAAGAGAGAAAAACTAGAGCCGCGAGATCATTGTGGCTTGGGGACGGCTGGTCGATCGTTGAATCCTACCGTTTCCCTATTTCATTGCATATTACCTATTATTACCTTTTATTTCTCTTCCTGCAGCATCTCTTACACCGATTGCGGACGAAAACGACGAGGCACGATCACGATCGCGATTTCGATGCGCGACCATCCACTACGTCTATCACTACCGACTCGAACAATTGACCTGATCGGGGCTGGAACTTCGCCGCCGTCAGTCACGACCTCAACCGCTCGTTCATGCTACCGTCCAAGTCCAAGAGGACTGGCCCCCGGATCCGATGAATACCAGCCACTCCCACGCCAATGGCGGCGCGGGGCCTGCGAAGACGAATGGGGTCGCCGACGAGAAGCCGCCTGTGATCGATGCTGGACTGCGAAGTTTGGATCATTGTATGTGGTTCCTATGTTTTTATCTACACGGGCTATGGGGAGAGACATCATATTACTAGTCGATGCAAGATCGCATTTATTGGGGAACGGAATTTAGCACGTGGGATATATACACATATGTGAAAGGCCTGCATGCTGATGATGCATTTATTATACAGACAGGCGCGCTCTTCCAAAATGGCGATACGAACTGCGACAGCGAGCCCTACCTTTAGTCAGGTGGGAGACACCGTATCTGGCGTGGCTGCAGGCTACTCTGCGTTCGCCAGCTCTTGATAGTTACTTCGCTATCACAGCCAACCTCGGCACGCATACCTTCTTCATGATCGGGCTACCTATCATGTTCTGGTGTGGATATGCTTCCTTCGGAAAAGGGTACGATTTGCGTCAGAGCAAGATAGTGGTATTGTTATCAGATTAGGAGGCTAACATGAGCTATCAGAATCGTACACATCCTCGCATCTGGCGTCTTCTTCACCGGATTCGTGAAGGACTTCTTCTCCCTACCGCGACCCTTATCACCACCTCTACATCGAATAACCATGTCCGGCTCTGCAGCGCTCGAGTACGGCTTCCCCTCGACCCATTCCGCGAACGCGGTATCAGTCGCTGTATACGCTATCCTATGTCTTCGGTCGCCCGACATCCCGTACCAACCCAACACCAAGTTCACGCTCGAAGCGCTGGCGTACTTCTACGCGATTAGCATCGTCTTCGGCCGCCTCTACTGCGGCATGCATGGCTTCGTCGACGTCGTCATCGGATCCATCATGGGCGCCGTCATCTCGCTCGTCGAGTTCCACTACGGCCCCGCCCTGGACTTGTACCTCCTGGATAGCTGGACGAGTCTCTGCGGTCTACTATTGCTGATTATTATATTGATCAGGGTGCACCCTGAGCCCGCGGACGACTGCCCCTGCTTCGATGACAGTGTCGCCTTCGCGGGCGTCATGATGGGCCTCGAAATCGGCACATGGCGCTTCGGGCGGTCGTCGTTGTCCCACACGCCCTTCGACCTGATCGCGCTAGGGTGGCCGGCCGTGATCCTGCGCATCCTATTTGGGGTCCTTGTCATCTTCGCGTGGCGCGAGGTCGCTAAGCCTTCGTTACTCAGGGGTCTTCCGCACCTGTTCCGGCTCATCGAGAACCGCGGTCTAAGCTTGCCCCGCCGGTTCTTCATGCCGGCCTCCGAGTACAAGAACATCCCGTTGAGACTCAGAGTCGACAACGTCATGCCCAACGTTAGCGACCTCCCGGGCCTGATTACGGCGGTGCGCCACCCTGGTCGCGGTAGGAGCGTGAGCGTAGGCCCCCAGAGCGCCGCGGATGCGTACGAGACCCTGGCGTACCGTGAGCGCAGGCGCCGCGAGAGCGTTAGCAGTAACCCGAGCTTGCGCTCTAAGGACAGCGTACAAGACATGAAGCAGGACGACAATATCAACAACATTAACAACAGCGCGCCGCCAGCGCGGAGCTCCGCTGTCAATCATAATAATAGGCCGAGCGACTTCGAGAAGCTGATGGGAGAGGGCGTGGTGGTCATCTCGCCGGCCGAGACTGGACCCGACGATGTAGACGGTGATGCGGAGCCCGACTTGTACATCAGGCAGCAGGACGAGCTAGGAGAGAAGGAGGTGTTCTCGAAGCTGGTCAAGCCGCGTGTCAGGTATGATGTCGAGGTTGTTACTAAACTCGTTGTTTACTGTGGTAAGTTTCGATCCGCTCGACTCTGTTCTTTTCTAGTTTCAGATTCAATAGCACATCCCTGCTAATCGAAAGCAAACACAGGCATCGGCTGGCTGGCCGTCGAAATCATCCCCGTACTCTATGAGGTCATTCCTGGTCTAGGGGCCGGACACCTCCGAGTAGCGTGAGGCTTCGCGGTGTACGACACGTACAAGTGCGCGACTTGAGACTTTATACATCCATTTCGTAGCGTTGGTGATGACAGTAAAAGTGTCAGTCAGCCCTGCCCTGCTCTCCTGAGACAGTATAGGATGTACCTTTTTCTTGTATATACTTCTTCAGGTATCGCTAATATCCCATTCACCCTTTTATATCCGCGTCTAGAGTCCTAGGAGAGCGGATGATTAGATATGACCTTTTTGGTTGGTTTATGTCTAAGTGTATGTGGTATGTCTGGACATGTACCAGAAGTAATGTTGCGGCGTCTGTGCTACGATATCGTCAGGTGTATCCAGCGTAACGAGCAGAGAAATTCTCGCCTAGATTTATAAAGGAGAGGTAGTTTACCAGTTTCTTACGAATGTGTAATAGGATATTATTTCTCACTTCTAATTAGACAAGGTCACAAGGACCTCTCGGTGTGAGAGGTATCCATGTAGAAAGCCTCTAGAACCTGCCAGGGCTTCGGGAGTCTCAGGGCGGTCATTTTATATTAGACGCGGCCCCTCATAGCCTTCGACACAAAAGCCAAGACATCCACGCAATGCTTCTTTCATCTCAGCAACTTATTATAAACAGACCAGAATTAAAAGTGAAAAAATTTGGCGGCTCTGGGAATCGAACCCAGGTTTACACGGTCCACGCCGGAATGAGCTTAAGAAGCTCTGATCCACAACGTATTGTCCTAACCACTAGACGAAGCCACCTTTTCACGTGATGACTTTCTGCTCCTGTAAATTGTTATTATATGCATTTGACGCCTCTAGCCCTAACGTGACACATAGTACACCATAACCGTAGATATTTTCGAGCTTTGCTAGCCGTGCTGTGTCCTGCGTACTAGTTGTGTTGTGTCCCATATATAAATGCTGGATAATTCTATATATTAACACTTTTATATACATTTTACTATGCGAATTAGATATCTCACTGGTATCTCTATTATCTCATATACCAGACCTCCACAAGTAGACCACTGGGCACCTTTATAATTACCTTTTGCGTTTCCTTAACCTAACCATAACCATCCCCCGAGCCGATAGTCCTATAAATCGGCAGATTATCTTAACTATAGAGACAGTCTAAGCGATGCGATGCGTAAGCAACGGGAGGAGCTTACCTATGGAACTAAGAGCCCAAAGGGCTAATAAGCAGGCCGCAGGCTCGATCATAAGCCTCAAAAATTGGGATATGTTATTCCGTAAGGTCTATGATAGGAGAAAGGCATACAATAGGATTTAACGAGAATAGGGTGTTAGATAGTATCGTTTATATGGCGATATTAAGTCACCTATTTGCTACAGAGTTCAAAACGATCAGTTGATCTATTATGGGATAACTTAGATCAAATATACTAAAATCAATTTAAGGTAATTGGCACTCTTGACCTTTAGCTACGTGTGTAGACATTCGGTAAGATATCTAATGTATATAATAGAATAGTTACACATAAAATTGTTAGTATATAGAATTATCCAGCATTTACATGTGGGATATAGCATGGCTAGCAAAGCTCTTATTTTCCCGTGACGCCTCCGCTCCCAATAGATGGTGTATTAGGGGGGGATAAGTTGTTATATTTAGATCGAGTTTGACTGTCTCTGACTGTCAATTTATAGTACTGTTTTATTATATAACCGAACCTCCTACATATGGTGGGTTATCAGTTAGCAATTTTTCATATGACAGTAGGTAAGAAAAAGAGACGAAGGAGACCTACCACTAACAGTCCCTAATATACAAATGACAATATCGACTTATAGGTAGTGCCTACGCGATACTACTTCCACCCGGCGGTCTTGAGAATACACAGGACGGGGTACCTGGATCCCCTCGCGCGTCCAACTTGGATGTATCCCGATGTCTCGTTCGCGCTGGTTGTAATAAGGCTGGTCTTGGGGTTCCGCAGGGAAGCCCGCCGTAGTCTCCGTGGACGTCGAACCTCTTGTCCCCCTATCGCTGACAGCAGCATGTTGCCCTCCTCCTTCTCCTGCTTCTACATCAACGTGTAGCCGGCCCTTCGGCTTCCGATGCCGGCGCCCCCATTCCTTGAGCTGAGACGGGATGAAATACCATACGGTGAACACCACGACGCCGGGGATGAGGAACAGGACGAACAGTAGCGAGATGCTGGTGCCTAGCATCATGATCACGCAGGCGCGGCGCCGCCGCGAGAGCTTGCCGAATAGGTCTTCTAGTCTTGCGTGCGCTACCCTGAACCCCATGAAGAGGCAGATGCTGAGGTACGTCCCGACCGTGCTGTAGATAATGAGGTTCTGGGGGGTCTGGAGCACGGCGACTGGCGAGTAGTCCACGCCGGAGCTTCGTTTCGCCCAGCTCATCGTAGTGTTTCGGTCTCTTCCTCCAAGGATAGTCTCGTTCTGCAATTTTTCGTCTTTTGATACTTAGCGGAGGCTCGCGGGAATAGTTCGAGTCGAGTTGTGATCCAAGATAAGTAAAGTAAGTAAAGCTAGGATGTTTGTTTATTTTCTCAGTGCGAAATTCTCTCAGCACTCTCCCTAGGTATGGTCTAGTTTCCCGCGTCCTTTCTTCATGGCGGTTAGAGTTTCGCGGTCGGGAGGTTGGCGACGCCACGCGGGGGTTTAGATTTGGGCTACTATCAGACGAACTGCGGCCATCAGTGCGATATGTAGGTAGTGTCATGTCATAGCCAAGGCATCTCGCTCTACTACCATGTGAATTGTTGAGGATATCATCCCCCTGGCTTGCGCAAAGCGCTATCTCAAAGCTTGGGTGGTTGGCGGCAAATAACTCGTCTGATGGCTAGACTGAAGTGACTTAACTAAGCATCTCTTCAAGCATGTACATAGTATCATTTAAACCTCCTTGAGGACGGTAGTTGATTTTGCTGTGTCGTTTCCTACTTGTTCTGCTCGAATTTCTTCGAGTTATTCAAGTCTAGAACTCGAGATTAAAATATAGTGTTGGTTTCTAATACTTCAGAAATATACCTATATGTATACACAAGTTCTCCCATCCCTCGTAGAACATTACGATATTCGGGAGGTGGTATATAACTAAGTTAGCAAATGAAGTGCTCTGAGGGTATATAAGCGGCACGTTCCTCTACACCATCATCATTGCAAAAGTCTATCCCAGACTTCTTCGGAGTAGCCTAAGTTCATAGTCTTAGACACCACGTCCTCGTCAAAGGCCGCTTATAATTATATACGTGAGATGTGAATGTTAATCTAGAAATAAATAATCCATCTATCGTAAGAGGTACCTATGTAATAAGTCGTCTGATACATAGATAGGTGCAGCACTCTGCCTCCGACTTAGACGAGATATAATATTTTCTGTATCCTAGGTGTCCAAGATGCCAGAAACCTTCTTTCGATATAACAATATCGATTCATCTATGGTTTAGGTAAGTTAGTGGTATATTTATTCTTGAATGTAGTACGCTTGTTCCTCGAGAGTCATGCGGAGCACATTATAAGTGAGTGTATGAACTGATAACATGTGTTAGGGATAAGAGTAGCTAGCGCTAGGGTCGCCCCTGAGGTGTGGCTTACTAGTGATGGTTCTTATAAGGGGGCATCGTTCTCATGTTTAGATATTTGGAAGGATATGGGTTCCTCCAGTTACTTTACAATATACCTAGTATACTAGTAATGAGATTGCTTCCCCTATACTCTGCTGCACCAAACCCCCTGACAACATGGCAACTCATATAGCATAGTATATATCAATGTCTACCTCTATATGGTAGGCGAGGTAGAATTAAGGATTATGGCATACTGCGGCACATATGGAACGTTCCAGTATGCGGAATCCGGTATAACTGACTCAGTGAAGAAGATAGCACGAGTAATGTCCTACGCCTAGGAAAATACTTTGCGATGTGCTGTGATTTGATCGCGTTCTATAGAAGGTACGGTACATCATCTTGCAGAAAAGAGCATAGGACTAGGTGCTTAACAATCAAGATATAAGAATGCTAAACTCTGATGCAATAAAAAAGACCGAACCGAGATCCTCGGATGGTAGGATTTAGAGGTCCAAAGGAGTTTAGATTGAGAATAATAAGCTTAAAAAGACACGACGGAAATAGCATAAATTATGAAATGTTTGTCACTGACTTCAGCTGTACGTAATAACCCCGGCCTAGCCGATCGCTGAATAAGTAGCCGCTGATTCGTCCTTCACTACGTGCATTTCTACTTCCCCTTTTCCATCTCAAGTCTCTTGCACAGGATGACTAACATACAAGAAACATCTGCGTCGCTTGTCAAGAAGAGGGCACGTGATCGTCGAGCCCAGCAGAATCTCCGAAACAAACGCGTCGCTTACGTTGAGACTCTTGAACTGCGCACGGCGGCCCTCGAAACCGAGCTACAGAGCTTGCAGCGGACATGCTATAGTCTACGGCAAGAGAATGAGATCCTACGCGGTCGACAGGAATATGTCCAACATATCGTGGCCTCGTGGACCCCCCACGAGTCCGAATGCCTTGGGTCAAATAGTACCGACGTTAATTCAATCCTAGGGAGGGTTAATGTTACTTCGCCGCCCGGCGGAATCCATCCTGGGCTTGATACGGATGATGGCGGGGGCGCTAGTTCAAGAAGCCCATCTACTTGTCATCAAACGCCACCCGAAAGTAGAGTAGCACCAGCAGCTGAAGCTCTTCAACATATTCCTAGACCTCTGGGCGACCTCACTCTTCCGCGGTGGAGCCTGACTCCCGCCCACGTAGAGGGGGATCTCATCTTCACAGACTGTTTTACCAAGTGTCTCAGGAGACCAGATCTCGTGCGTGCGTCACCAGAGACTCCTCAGCCCATTGACTTCCTGTATGGTTCCAAGACAAATTTCCTCGCCAACACTCTCCACGATACCACGCGGCGGTGGCCGTGTCGAGACCCAGAACGTCTAGCCACTGGGTGGCTAATATATCATTTAATAAGGTGGATGATTGATCCGAGCGAAGCTCGCTTTTCGCGTCTTCACGATTTCCAAAAGCCTGTACCCGAGCAACTCTGCCAGCCACATCCATACTTTGTCGATTTCGCCTTGTGGCCTAAGTTTCGGTCTAATCTCGTCACACTACGAGATACTTATATACTCCAAGATGTTGTCGGGATGTTATCCTGCTGCCTTAGGGTGAGGTGGCCGTGGAACAAAGCGTTCCTTGAACCAGACGATAATGGCCGATTAGTGCTTCGAGCCGACTTCTACAATACTTTCACGAGGCTCGAAGGCTGGGGCCTCACAGAAGAATTTATAGACCGATTTCCCTCATTGGTCGCCGGCTTGGACCCAGCATCAATACGCTACGATTTTGTTGAGCTGTAAGATTTGTTTAGTCTACGTAGCAAGCATATCCCTTTGTACTCCTTAGATTCTTCGAAAAACCGCCAGCGTATGCCATAACCCATTCACCCTTTATATTCAAATATTTCGATAGCTTTAGCTTCTATACTATGGAACGATCGTGACTAGTACATCATGGGGATCGGGTTAGATGCCTTTGTAACATGTATGTATGATGTATTTCTCGTCCAAGTATGTATCAATTTACACGAGCCGCCCTTGAATTCCGTCTGCACGCCTCTCGCCAGAACTAATATTAGTAACCATTCACCAACCTTTCCAAATCCAATCTACAATCGTTCTCACGCCCTTTCCTTCAATAAATATCTCCCCAGTCGCAAGCACAGAATATCCCGAAATCAGGCAG